ACATTGGCTTAGATTCACGGGATACCTTGCCAAGGCCACCGACTTCCCGTTATCTCATCCGGGTTTATCTCATGCGACGGCCGAGTTAACAACCAACAGCTATGCTATCAGCATAATAAGGTTTACAATATTAGTAGTGTAATCAAGGAGGATAACAGTAGCGCTACTAAGACCAAGAGCAGAAATTATTGATCTATTTCTCCTTCTGGAAGTAGTGGAAATTCTAGTATTTTCCACTATTATAATTTTTACTTCATATCCTCCCATGCAGAAGATGTTTGGTCAGAAATCAGGTGCTTAGCGTTGCCAACGAACTGCAACTGCAACAAATTTATCGTTTCCAAAACGTGTTGCACTGTGCTGACGGAATCTAAGATCTTCATACATTTGTAGAAATTTTTCCGTGATATTCAGGTGGTCCAAACTGGCCTTCATCGATTTTACAACGAGGCCATTTGCAAAGATGACTTCTGGTGTCGTTTGCTATTCTTCAGCTAATAATCTGCTTCAGATCAATATCTAGGTTCTCGGTATTTTCAGTTCTGATTGTAGCTGCGCATTTTTGTCCAATGTGGCATCAAAATCAGCTCTTTCATCTGTCCTGCGAGCCAGAATAAATATACCTGAAGGATTTTGATCAACAACATGATCAGCAATTATAGACTTGTCGAAATGTATGGTACACTGGTCATCGTCAAACACGCTGACTTAGTTGTATCAACGACGGAGTGTTGGTGTTGCTTCTGACATGAGGCCTTGTTCAAGAGTCAATTATTGGTGTATGGCCTTTGCTACGTTATTCTGCCGTTTGAGGCACCCAAAATGGAACAACTTGCGGCAAGCTGTTGGATTGGTTCGCAACACATTTTGCATTTGTCCGAGATGATTTCTTTCACTATGTATTTGGTGTATTTCGTCGTAAGCATCATTTGACCTCGAATTGCTACTGTATATTTATCTGTTTACTCGAACACTTGACAGGGGACACAGACAAGGGACTTCTACCGGTCGATTTCACGGACGTTAGTCAAACGTAGTAACGACTGTGAAGAACTTGCTCCATTCGTCAAGTCTTGATATTGCATTTCTCTTCTTTATCACATTATCGATTTGTGATAGTCTCAGCGGCAATGGCTCTTGTCTGCTTCTTCTACGGCTCAATGTCAAGGTGAATCCTTTGTCAGAAGGCGTGCACGAATGCACTACAGTCATTAGTATTATCGAACGATGGAAAAGCACCATCGTTTCGGATTCAGAAGGCTTCGTAACTTTGAGCAAAGAGACAATCGTCAATTCAATGCTGCCAGACACAAGCACAAAGACAGGTAATAAATTCTTTATTAGAATAGCCGACGTTTCGGCCAAACAGCATAGACCATGCTATTGGCAAAAAATCTAGTATCAGGCAAAAACGTTCTCTCTAAGCAACGAGTTTCACTGGGCTGTAAGCCATTGTTCAGTTGATTATTATGCAATGTATAATCACTTGCGTATTATAGAAGTCATGCAGAATTAAT